CAACGAGACAGCTTTCACAACCCAAAAGCCTGATGGCGTGCATTAATTTTGCCATAAATCATTTCAGTATTTGTTCTAGCTTAGCATTTTCTGCATTTTTAGAGCATTCTTGCTATAAAATGGAGGCTTGCTTCACCAGACAGAAAATTAATGTCCTAAACACTAAGCCTGAATTCACCATCATTAGGAACTTTTCTGTGAAACAGTTTAGTGACACTGATAATCCTAGGTACTTGTTACCGGCCTATAAACATTTTATTGAACTGCAATTCCCATTTAAGCATCATCACAATGCTAGTCTTTTTAATGATGCTATAAAAGAGATACAGAATTGTAACAATGACACAAACAACAACCTTCACTCACGCACTTACCCCGTAAAACTGTGAGTCTGGTGGATACACTTATTTCTCCCACATTATTTGAGGCCACACATTCATAAATGGCCTCATCCCTCGGAGTCCGTAAGGGTTGTATTCTGAGAACTGATCCAGACCCATCGTCAAACTCTATTACCTATTAGAGGAAACAATAGCTGTCACAGGTGTTGTTACAGTTGTCTACCTCTCAGCTAAAGCTCTCAGTGCAGTGGTGGATCTGCCATCAGGCTCATAATAAACTAGACATCATTCTGAAACTGAATTTTGATATAGTGGTGAAAAAATATTTGGTTTAACTTAGTGAATCTTCTACTGAACAAGGAGAAAGATATGTAACTACATATACAAATTATGGAGATTTCTAGTCCCTACTAAAAACCACGAGGGTTTACTCATTAAAATATTTCAGTATGTGCATCTAGGGCAATTTTATTCTATTAATTTTGCAAGGGGCTTGCAGCTATGATCGATAAACTTCTCAAATTATTCTTTCTCTGACAGCACATACACAAATGTGGATTCATTCAATAATGAGACTGTAAGGTGAAGAATTAATGCACACCACCACAGATAGCTCTGCTGGTTTACACTGTCTCATCCTGAACAGTATAGATGGGCAAACCATAAAGAAAAACTGCATAAATCTAGTACTTAGGCAGTCAACGAGACAGCTTTCACAACCCAAAAGCCTGATGGCGTGCATTAATTTTGCCATCCATGCACGAGAAATGCCAACATACAAAAGAGTACCATATCCTGTTTCCTTTCTAGATGCTCTGCCAAAAATCAAAATGGTATCTGGCATTTGAAATCAATACCTTTTTCAGCTTTTTTACCCCTGATTCTCCCCCTGAACTCTAGTTCTATTAAGACCCGTAACTAGAGAAGGTATTCACTGTCTAATGAAAGTTCAACTCTTATAAACATTTTTTTTTTTTTTTTTCTGAGA